ACACTCGTCATAGATTGTTTAACCATTTATTGCAACAAATGGAAATAGTTAAATTTGCCGCTGATGGCTCCGCTCTTTGAATGCTCCCCGGATTAGCCAGCAGCTACCGAGCCAAAACAGGGAGCACCGAGCACCAACCCCTAAAACAACGGAAGCCAACGCCAAGTCTGGTATGACGTCCATGCTAAGCATCAGCCGGACTATGGAAAAGCTATGTGTAACAACGAGCTTGCTGCAGACCTCAGCAGACGTTATTTTAAGATTAAGGGCGCAAGCATGCATCCTAAACAAAATGGCGCCGTGCCAGAGGCAGCCTGTTGCTGCAGGAGCTCCCTGTGTGTTTTAATTTGAGTCTTTTTTCACTCTTTCCTCTCTTGTTTTAGTTCTCTTTTTTCTTAACGTTTGGTTTTTACGGTCAGACAACGGACCGTAACTTTTTTCTCAACTTCTCTCATGGCTTTGTTACTTTTCTCCCTCTGTGTAACGGAGAGCCACACACAATGAGCGGGGCCATTGTTTACTCCCGTGATCAGCTGATCGCGCTGAGTGAGCAGCGCGATCTCAGCGCCAGGCCTGAGATCCCGGCGGAGCTATGGTGAAGACGCCGGGGCTGCAGATCTGGAGCCAAACGGAGGGCGAAGAGGAGGCGGTACAAACCTTCAGTACCGGCGATACTAGTGGGGAACGTGAGGTCTTTGGCAAATAAGACGGACGAGCTCGGCGCGCTGGTAAAGGCCGAGAGGGACTTCCGTGAGTGCAGTGTCATGTGTTCCACGGAGACATGGCTGCACGCGGATTTCCCAGACCACAGTGCGTCGGTGCGCGGCTTCAGGACTGTTCGGGCGGACAGAGACGTTGTATGGATGCATCCATACTATTTGCCGAGGGAGTTCTCGTCCGCCATTGTTGTCACTGTGTACATCCCCCCCCATCAGCTGCCGCTGTGACAGCAGTGGACACCATCCACTCCACTGTGTCTGGACTGCAGATTCAACATCCAGGTGCATTTTTGGCAATTACTGGATACTTTAATCACACCACTCTGGATAAAGCCCTGCCAACTTTTCACCAGTATGTTGACTGCCCCACTAGGAACAATAAAATTCTAGACCTACTGTATGCTAATGCAAGGATGCATACAGTGCCACTGACCTTCCCCCCTTGGCAGGTCTGATCACAACCTGATCCTGTTAACACCCAGGTATGTTCCTCTGGTACAGAGGCTGCCTGTGACCACCAGGACTGTGAGGAGGTGGTCTCAGGAGGCTAATGATGCCCTACAGGACTGCTTTGAGTCAACGGATTGGGATGTGCTGTATGGACCACATGGGGAGGACATCAACAGCGTGACGGACTGTATCACAGAATATATCAAATTCTGTGAACAAACCACCATTCCATCCCGGACAGTACACTGCTTCCCCAACAAGCCATGGATCAGCAGTGACCTGAAAGCTCTTCTTAATAAGAAGAAAGCAGCTTTCAGGTCTGGGGACATGGAGCTCAGGAGAGTCCAGCGCGACCTGAAGGTGAAGCTCAGGGAGCGCAAGGACTCCTACAGGAGGAAGCTGGAGGCCAAACTCCAGCAGAACAACGTGAATGAGGTGTGGACTGGAATGAAGCAGATAACCGGCTTCAGGGTTGGAGGGAGACAACCAGGGGGCTCCCTGGAGAGGGCCAACAAGCTAAACTGTTTCTTCGATAGGTTTAGCTCACAGCCCTCATCCGTCTCCTCTGCACACCACACCTCGGCTGCCTCCCCCCTCTGGTGAGCTGCATGGACTCAGAGCCCTCTACATCAAAGGGCTCTTCCACCACTGACACTATGGCCACCCTCCCCCCCTCTCTGTGACGACTGGCCAGGTGAGAAGACAGCTGGAGCGACTACATCAAGGAAAGGCTACGGGACCTGGTGGCATCAGCCCCAGGGTCCTGAAGACCTGCGCCATCCAGCTGTCTGTCCTTCAACACCTATACAATCTGAGCCTGAAGCAGGAAGAAGTCCCGGTACTGTGGAAGACGTCGTGCCTGGTTCCTGTACCAAAGAAGACGACACCATCTGGCCTCAATGACTACCGACCAGTTGCCCTGACATAACATGTGATGAAGGTGCTGGAGAGGCTGGTCTTGGCCCACCTCCGACCGCAGGTGAAATCATCACTGGACCCTCTGCAATATGCGTACCAGCCTCATGTGGGAGTGGATGACGCCATCATCTACCTGCTGCAACGAGCTCAGTCGCACCTGGATGGAACCGGTGGCTCTGTGAGAATCACTTTCTTTGATTTCTCCAGTGCATTCAACACCATCCAACCAGTGCTGCTGAGTGAGAAGCTGCGGGTGGTGGGGTTTAACGCATCCACCGTCTCCTGGATCACTGACTACCTCACGGGCAGACCAGTTTGTCCAACTGGGCCGTGTGCTGTCTGATGTGGTGGTCAGTGATACTGGAGCCCCACAGGGAACTGTTGCGTCTCCCTTCCTGTTCACCTTGTACACCACTGACTTCCATTACAATTTTCTGTCATGCATCTGCAGAAGTTCTCTGATGACTCTGCAGTGGTCGGGTGTATAGGGGACGGACGGGAGGAGGAGTACAGGGCAGTAGTGGAAGACTTTGTGGAGTGGGCTGGTAGAAATCACCTGCGTCTGAACGTGGCCAAGACCAGAGAGATGGTGGTCGACTTCAGGAGGAAGACGACGGCTCCACAACCGGTGAGAGTTCTGGGAGATGATGTGGACATTGTAGAGGAGTACAAGTACCTGGGTGTCTCCATCGACAGCAGACTGAACTGGAAGACCAACATCAACGCTGTGTACAAGAAGGGGATGAGTCGACTCTTTTTCTTGAGGAAACTTCGATCCTTCAACGTGTGCAGCAAGATGTTGGAGATGTTCTACCAGTCTGTTGTGGCCAGTGCACTGTACTTCTCCGTAGTCTGCTGGGGGAGCAGCATTGGAGCCGAAGACACCAACTGTCACGGGACATAATGAGGACTCAAATGCAGACAGTCAGAGTAGTGAACAAAAGGTTTTAATAACTCACGAAACAAACACGTAATCCAAGGACGAGACAAGGGGGGGAAATCCGGCAGGACAAGGCAGGGTAAAAACAGGGCAGACAGACTGGGAAACCAGGAACGGGACTAGCAAAACGGGCGGGAAGGTAGGAAACAAAAACCAATGATCTGGCAGTGAGTGAGTGAAAGACAGGGGTTTAAATAGTGACTAGAACAGGTGAGGAGAGTTGTGCTGATGAGGGAGAGTGTGACTGGCAGGTGCACTGAATGAACTGATTAGGGACAGGTGAAGGAAGTGAGGAGCTACAGAAAACCACACAAAACACCCAAGGCAAAGCCTGATTGTGACACCAACAGATTTAACAAACTGGTTAAGAAGGCCGGCTCCATCATTGGCTGCAAACAAGACTATCTGGAAGAGGTGGTGGAGAGGAGGACACTGAAGAAACTATTGTCCATATTGGATAACCCGGACCACCCTCTCCACACCTACTGCAGGGACAGCGGAGCACTTTCGCCAACAGACTGATTCAGCTCCGCTGTCACAAGGACCGATACAGGAAAACATTCCTGCCCACTGCTATAAGACTCTATAATAAATCACCTCTGGCCAAATCATACACAAGACTATAGCACTGCTACACTGTTGTTGCTGGCGGCGATCTTGTGCACTACTGTTTAGTTTTTCCTACTTTAGTGTATATACTGTGCATTTTTATTACTTTATTTTCTTAAATTTAATAGGTCCTGCTCTGTTATTTTATTATATTGTATATATTGTGCATTTTCCATACTTAATATTTTTATCTTATTCTGCAACCTTGTTTGCTGCTGCCACAGACACATTTCCCCTTGGGGCTGAATAAAGTACATTTCTATTCTATTCCATCCTAAACGAGGCCATCCTACAGTTATGTGAAATATCTATATCTAGCAGCAAGACTGCTGCAGACCTCAGCAAACATTACGTTAATGTGGCGAAACAAAGGTGGGATGTGGTTTAAAGTTTACGTGGACATTAACCAATAGTCAGAGCACAACAACGCCACCGTAGGAATTTCACCAAAAGACTAAGTTTTGCCCACACAGTATCAAGGATTCATAGGACATTCAGGTTCATTATACAGATTAGCATGAGACGTGGTTCCAATACAAAAACAATCTTTATTATTAAACAGTGGTTCCCAGATAAGGTTAAACACAAAATACAAAAAAATAACCGTATACATTCATTTAAAAGAGAGGCGTAGGGCTGCGGCTTACCAGTGGCGAGGTAGAGGGGCACACCAAACCACAGCACACGAAGAGAGACACCAACACCCGGAGGCACCAACCCCACCACCTTGGCTTAGCAGCTCCTACAGGGACAAGGAACACAATTACAAAAGGCTCTGGTTCTCAGAAAGGAAAATCCAAAAAAGGAAAAAATAAGAAAAGACAAAACAACTCTGGTTAACTGATCAGCCAGGGGGGGGGGGGGGGGGGGGTGATCAGTAACCCAATTTATATAAACTAAAGGTCAGAGTGGGCCTTAACATCCCTTGTCAGAATACACATAGAATGGCTCAAACTAAAAATATGTTTTTCTCCATTAAAACAAGGGTGATGCTGACGTCAAACAGCACGGGACCGGGGCGAAACCCAGTAGGCCAAAGCCGTTGTTCCAACACAGCCAAAGGCAATGCGGGCATAGGCAAAACAGCGGTAAGCAAAACAGCGGTAAGCAAAACAGCGGTGTCCTTAAACGTGAGCAGGGTTAGCTGTAGCCGCTTTCTGGCAGCGTTCCGCTCGAACCCAGCCAAAGGTCCCCTGTGATACGGGATGACATCAAATTAATAGAATAATTATTAACACCAAAGTATATAAACTAGAAAAATAAAACCACTTATCGATCAGGCAATATTCGTCGGCTCCAGAAGGGGGGAGGAGGGGATGTAGCGCTGCTACCGGCTGCTATATAAGCAAGACGCGGTTATATAGTGTGATGACACCATAATACCATCAAATCAGGACCTAATCGAGACTCACTGACGGAACCGCAGGTGAGTTACCTGTGCAGGACGAGGGGAGCCCCAGAGATAGTCTATGAAATCACAGAAAGCCAATGTAATATCGAAACAGCACGACTAACAAACAATGCAGCAGCATTCTTGCATACCTGCA